TGAAAGGACATAGGGGCAGTGAGCCTAACAGAAGAAATGGGTAGGGGAGCAGATGGACTAAGATGGACCAGGTCCATGTCAGGTTTTAAACATAATGGGTCACATTTTGGGGTAAATCCATAGTAACTCCTTTGATTTTAGTGAACATCAAAGATTAACTGCAATTAAATTATTCTGGATTTATACCAGCGTAACTAACTGAATAAAATTTGTCTCAAGGAGGGAAATTGTGAACTGGGTCAAAGAGTACTTGAAATCAATCCTGAAATTACTAGAAAATTATTTGTAAATACATGTAATTAGGTTGTGCTTCTTGTATTTATGAGGCAGACCTGGCAGGAGCATACTTCATATGCTGGAGTCTGAAGAGCTGGGAACTATAACAGTCAAGCTGAGAGGAAATGAAGGCATTAATGGGTATTTTCAGGAGTAAGGGTTGGGGTAAAGATGTACATTGGTATTGTGGCATATTTGGTGATGTATATATTTACACATATGGGAGATACTGGAGAAGACAGTTCTAGGTCAACGGTGACACTAATTATTTGAATAATGGTAACAAAGGGGCGGTGCTTTGTTAATAAAGGAGATTCTCCCTTTCTTAGCAGCCAAATAATATTAAAAAGTGGTCCCTCAAAATTACTTTTATAGAATAAAACAGAAACTTGAAGACTCGTGGGGTTAGTGAGGGGTTAAATAAATTTTCACCAGTTTGAATCTAACTCAGGTTGCGACCAGAGGTAGACTTGACCAAAACCCTAAATCTGAACATTATAATTGGATTTGAGTTTCAGGGCCATAACGTGTCAAATACAAACACTGAACACAACTACTGCTCAAAATGGAAAAGTGTGGATTTCAAACAAATTGCCGTGTTCAGACCTCAGCGTGTACATTCAAGCTCCTGTCAAGTAGTCGCAAAGTGAAAAGTAGGTGGTCTCAGTGCAGTTCCTGGCAGACAGGTTTCCACATCACGCCAAACCACAAATAAACAAATAGTGTTATGTTAACATCTAAAGACCTCAACCAAGCTCAGGCCCTATTGTGCTAGGCACTGTATAAATATATAGTAAGAGACAGTCCTACTCAAAAGCTTATTGTCTAACTAGACTAAGCAGACAAAAGGTGGAAAGGGAAATAAAAATACAGTAGTGAAGTGACTTTCCCAAGGTCACAGCGCCCGACAGTAGCAGAGCCTGGGTCTGAAATCCCTGGATCTGAGTCCCATTCCAGTGCTGTGGACATTGGACCACAGCACCTTTCTCTTTTTCCAATAATCATTGCTGCACAGTAGTGCTGATAGACTGCATGACTCTGTACAAACCAAGGAAGATATGGTTCCTGCCCCAAGGAGCTTACAATCTAGGCAAACAATACAATTCAGATACAAAATGTACCAGAAGATGAGAAAACTGATCGATCAGAAAACACTGCAGGTTTTTTTTAAACAATAAAACCTTGATTTGTTTGACAAATTAACATTAATAGGACTTGCTAAAGAAGTGCAATTTAAAGAAGGACTAGAATACACAGAGCATAACTAGTTACCATAAAATCCCCTGGGGTGCTGAGTGCCAAAGGCATGAGAGCTTAGGAAATGAGATGATCAGTGCATATGTAGTAAATGTGCCCTGGCGTATCAGTATCCCGAACTAATTCTTAGATGAGGTAACACTTCTGTATGTGATCAGAAAATATTTAGTTTAGGTATGCAACAAGGAAATAGCTGCCAAAGTGCTGGAGCATGGTCCAAAAGCAACAATGCCTATTTAAATATGAAGCTTCTTAAACTTAGCCAGAAGCTGGGAATGAGCAACAGGGAATGGATCACTTGATGATTACCTGTTCTGTTCATTCCCTTTGGGGCGTCTGGCATTGGCCGCTGTTGGAAGACAGGATACTAGGCTAGATGGACCTTTGATCTGACCCAGTATGGCCATTCTTATGTTCTTAGAGACCAGATTACATTTTGAAAAGACATAATACTGACAATAATTATGAATGTGTTTTTTTGGGAAGGAACTTAAATGATGCATTTCACATGAAGTGGAAAGTAGGTTTTAGAAACCACACTTACTGTCATACAAATGTGCCTAATGAAAGCGGCCATGCTGATCCTAATCCAACTTTACTGCGACTCTCACCTCATGTTGGTTCAGTTTGTAAATTGTACTTCTGATGGAACAATTTGTAAATTTTTAATAAGTTATGGGCGAGAGGCTTTCCAACTCTCCTTCTTTAGTAGCCATTACCTATAAAATCAGAAGAACCACCAGGGAGAAAAGAGACTGTCAGTGGTGAATAAAGAAAACCTCTGACACTTTTTCATACTAAAAAATAAGTGTTTGGATTTTTTTTTTAAGATTGATCTATTAAACTCAGCATATTGCAATGTCTTTGATTTCTGGCTGCCTTTTTTCAGGAGCTCCTCAAGGAACAAAAGTTCTAACAATTTTAATTTCTCATTTTAAGATTTTTTTTTAAACACGACATATAGCTATAGTTAGGCATTTTCTACATAATCACACCAATTCAGGTGTCCTAGGCCACTACCTGCATAGTACTTTTCCTTATTGATCATGTGAGCAAAGAATAAATGTAACCATTACTTGACCTATGACCACAAGGCCATTCAGAGCATCCTGAAAAGTTGCTCCTATGTGGGCTGGTCTCTGAGTGGACACTAAACAGCTCCTTGAAATTTCTCACAGCGTGGCAGGTACCACGATAAACACAATTGTCATGACAATGCAACACAAGCAGCACACAAGGGCCTGAATCTGTAATCATTTAATTCCTCTCTGCATCCACAGAAAATATCAGAGCTCAAAAAAAAAAAAAAAAAATTAAAAAAATACTCTATTGTAATTTACAGTCAAGGTCCCCAATCCTGCACTCTTTAGGTTTGTCTACACACCCCTGCAGTACAGACTCTGAGGGTACGAACTGTAGCATGCACTAGCATGCTGCACTGTAACACCATGTGGATGCCGCTGACATGAACTAAAAGGTACCTAAGTTTGCATTAACATAGTCTTGTTTAAAAGAGGCCTAAGTTAATGGTGAAATGGGTATCTCCTAAGTTGTGCCTGCAGCATTCACACAGGGAAGTGACAGCACAACATGCTAGGGCATGCTGCAATTCACACCCCCTGTAGAATGAACTGCAGGGCCACAAAGACATTGCCTTTGCTCAAGTAAAGAAATGCAGGGGGCAAGCACTTATAAGGTACATCACATTGTATCTGGGCGCTGAAATACTTCATAGCTTGTACACATGCTCTATAATTGACTGAGACCCTCTCTAATGAGGTATTCGTGATTTTAGAAGTGGCACCACTACACATTATGAACCCACACTAGCTCTTCATTAGAAAGTCCATGAGCACCCAGTGGATCACAGCCAACAATTTGGGAAGCTTTATGTATCGCCATCTTCTTTTACATCAGGAATGGTAACATACAAAAGCCAGTAGGTGAACACTTTAACCTCCCTGGACATTCAGATTTAAAAGTAACTATTTAAACAAAAAAACTTCAGAAACAGACTTCAAAGAGAAACAGCTGAACTAAAATTCCTTTGCAAATTTAACACCATTAATTTAGGCTTGAATAGGGACTGGGAGTGGCTGGCTCATTACAAAAACAGCTTTGCTTCTCCTGGAATTGACACCTCCTCATCTATTATTGGGAGTGGACTACATGCACCCTGATCGAATTGGCCCTGTCAACACTGGTTCTCCACTTGTGAGGTACTCCCTTCTCTTCATGTGTCATTATATAATGCCTGCATCTGTATCTTTCACTCCATGCATCTGAAGAAGTGAGGTTTTTCACCCATGAAAGCTTAAGCCTAAATAAATCTGTTAGTCTTTAAGGTGCCACCGGACTCTTTGTTGTTTTTGTGGATACAGACTAACACGGCTACCCCCTGATACTTGACATCTTTTGCAGTCCATGGACTTTGATGATGCTAAACACAGACCACTCTATCATCTGAAAAAATAGAAATCAACTCAATTTGTGAATTTTAGGACACTAACCTTAAGAAAGTGTTTAATCATTTACGTCATGGACTTCAAGCTGCAGCTTTCTGTGACAGCCCTGCAATCAACTATGTCTATCATCCTTCTGTTTTCCTCTCCTAACATATGTCCACACGTTGGGATCACTATACACTTGGTCTCTACCAGATTCTATGATCAGTAGTCTAGCACTCTGTAGCTAGGCAGTGCACTCATGTGAACATTTCACACAAGCAACAACCACTAAAATAGTGTCTTGCATTGGAGCATGACTCCAACTTTGAAGGACTTGTTCATGAAACTACTGTGTGAGACCATTCCTGACTTACAAGGAAACAGACAAAGAAAATATGGAGAGAAGAAAGAAAATAAATGTGTAACTGGAGGAAAAATCATGGACACAAAAATATACAGTAAAAAACACAATGGGGAAGATACCATAGAAATACGTGTGACACAGAGGTGGTACTTATCATGGTATCATGAAAAACAGATTAATCAGAACAAGGTTTGAATCTCTGTATACTTGCAATATATTTATCATGTATGTACAGTCTTGCTTTCCATTAATCTAAGTTAGAATACTTGGCTGAGATTTTCAAAAGTTTCAATACTCGCTTTTGTAATAAATGGGATCTGTGTGGCTCACTCCCCTACCTTGGCTTTGAAAATCTCAAATTATACTTGGAGTGGGTTGCACTTGCATCACCTTCAATTTTGTAACTATTAAATCAAAGCGTATTTGCTGGAAGGCCACTCTGCTTATATCATATTGGGTCTTAATTCTACTTTCTAGTACATGGGTACCTGTGGACTGCCGCTTATCCACTCCTTGTGTTCACACACATGCTCTGTACCATATTTTTCCAAGTTATGCATTGATGTATTCCCATATACCTAGGAGAGTAGTCAAAATCTTATATATTATATTGTATTTAAAGTAGCACACATTGAGCAAACTGAAATCAGATAGGCTTAAAATAAAAAATAAATGTATTTACAACACTGCATAAATTGTGCAATTATCCATTCAGAAAACAAAATATAATCACATTAACATAAAAATAAAAAATTTATTACAATCCACATTCAATACATTTTTGAATAACTATAAATTCTTAATTTCTAACCAACATTTTCTTTAAAAAAAGCTTGTTTAAAATAGTAACTTTTGACCCTCTCTCGTTTAAACAGCATCTAAAATGCTTTGTTAATTTATTACTGATCAGTTGGTCTTTGTCGTAAATTTCTAGATTTTCCATTTTCAAATTTTCTCTTTTTGAAGATCGGCACCTCTTCTGTCAGGTCTCCAAGGGAGGTGACTGTTTTTTCTTTAAATATCATTTTTGCATCCTCTGGAACCTGGAGCACTGGCAGAGGGAGATAGTCACTCTCTGTACTGGGAAGCTCTAAGTCCACTTTTTCACTAGAAGAGGAGGTAAAAAAACAACAACTACTAGATGACAAGAACAAGAATGGCACCACAGATGGCAGACAGCACTTTTATTTTCATAGCGGCCCGACAAAATTGTCAGGAAATTTTATAACCCTGGCACAAGTTTACTTGCCCATCCTCATCATGACCATTATAATCTGGCATTAAAATAAATACTGTATTTGCCTTGGGTGAGCTGACAAATAGCAAACTAGGGCCCCTATCCTGCAAACACTCAAGCATGTAAGCATTTTGCTCATGTAAGTCCTATAATAGCCATTATTGCTACTCATGTGTAAAGTTAAGCAGGTGCGTAAGTGTTTGCAGGGTAAACATCTAAGGGAACAATCTTTTGGTACATGATTAGGGAGTTTTGCCAAAGCACACAGGATCAGGTCACATGAGCTTGACTTTGAACAGGGGCTAAGCAGCTACACCCACCACTGAAGTCAACCAGAGCTGCAGGTAGCCAGCAGTCCTCAGGATAAGACCTTAAACCTAACAACTAAGAAATTCAAGGTTTGAGTTGCAATCATCAGCTGCCGTTGTTTCTGTATTGTTCCACACAGTTCCAGCTTTTCCCACTAAACGGTAAGCCCTTGGAGGCAAAAAATCTGTAATTTGTTTGGTACAGCTTTCCTGCTGCGCAGCCTCAGAGATGCTATATCCAGGGCTATGATTTAGTCCTGGGTATTTTTAGTAAAAGTCGTGGAGAGGTCATGGGCAATAAACAAAAATGCATGGCCCATGACCTGTCCATGACTTGTACTATATACCCCTGACTAAATCTTAGCTAGGGTGCGGGGGTGCTTCTCTGGTGGGTAGGGGTGGGCCGCTGCTTTGGGAGGGGGGGCTGCTCTGGGGAGGGGGGCCCAAGGTTCAGCAGCACTAACTGCTGGGGGCCACTGAGCAGCAGCTGCTCTGGCTGCCCCTGGGGCCGCCCACCTGTCACTGCTCCTGTTGCCCCCAGGACCGCTGCTCAGGTGGTCCCCAGGGCCAGCTGCACAGGCCAATTGCGGCTTCAGCAGTGCCATTGCGGCTGGCTGTGGAGCCACTTCAGCAGTGGCTGATGTGGATGTCCCCGGGACCGCCTGAGCAGCTGGCCCCCAGGTCAGCCACACCAGCCACTGCAGAAGTCACGTCACGTCATGTCACCTAACCAAATAAACGAATAAATGTCATTACATTAAAAAAATAAATTAAAAGAGTCACTTTATTCCATGGGCTCTATCATAACGGGGTTTAAAAGAACTTTTGAAGTAATTTTGCTCAGACCCATTAATTGGATTGAGGGTTAATGAAGAAAGGAGGGAAATACAGAATATTTTGTACCTGCTTTAGACTAATCTCCACCACACTAAAAGCCTGTGCTCCTGAAGATTGATATATTCTAACACACAGTGGTTTAGCCTCATATATTCGCACCCTACACACTATTATAATAATCTTTGTACAAAATACATCTTGTGAGGCATTATTGAAAACGAATAACTCACTGGTCAATAATATCATGGTGAAATGTATGTAGCAACAGTATATATAAAGCTATGAAATATCCCTACATGATGTTCTTCACGTATGTTCAAAACTACACAGCCCTGCCTAGGCACGAGTATACTGAATGCAGAACTGAGTGTTGACTTCAATGTACATATAAGTAGTAAACAGAGTCCTTGAGACAGCAGGGAGAAGACATGGCAGGAAGCAAAGCAAATTTGCATTTCACCAAACGTGAGAAGAAAGAACTTGGAGCCTCCTTCACCACCAGGCTCCATGTTGCCTTCTTTACAGTTTGAATAACTTTGCTTTGAGTAATAACTATCAGAAGAATCCACTTCAAAGATTAACTGGATTATAAAAGAAAGGGGCAGAAAAACCCAAGCTATCTTTCTCTCTCTTTTACCTAAGAAGACAAAGGAACCAGCCCTTTGGCTTTGGGAGGAGATCCTGACCTGAGAATTGGGTCAGCCCGATGGCTGGGAACATGTGGTAAGGATTTTGCCTTGAACCAAGTCTAGCTTGTTAAGTTTTAGCTAAGAGAAAGCATTTTATCTATTTCCCTTGTAACCATTTTCGACTTTAATATCATATATTTGTACTCACTTAAAATCTCTCTCTCTCTGTAGTTAAATGAACTTGTTTTATTTTTAATCTAAACGAATCCCGCGCTCTGTTTAAACTGAATGTTTGGTAACTCCAGGTAAAGTAGCAAACTGTTGAATATTGACCTTTTGCAGGGACAATGGACCTTTATATCGGAACTGTCCAGGAAATGGCTGAACAGTGCAGCACTCAGTTTTTTGGGAAAATTCGGAACTGGGAGCGTGTTGGGTGGTGGAAGCCAGAGTGTCAGCAGAGTGTTGCTTACAGGCTGCTGGGGTCAGAGTTGCTGGACCAGGGCTGTAGGTAAACAGACACTCAGGGTGTGACCTGCATGCTGTTAGGTTGTTTGTGAGTAGTCCTGACTGGGAGCTGCAATAGCAAGGCATTATGAAGCACCCAAGGTTGCAGGGCAGGCGGTGACACAACCCCTCACTGGGCTGGATTGCACCCCAGCATGTGACAATATATATAGTCATTAAATATATATTACAACTGACTTTGGGAACTTTAAAAAAAAAATCCTTTAAAGTCCCTGAAATGAACTTCAATTATAAGCTATTCAGGGAACAGATGGTCTCTACCACTAGAGCCCTGTAAATCCATGGGTATCCGTTTTGTATCCACAGACCATTATTGCGTATTGCAGCGTGGATGCGGATACAAAATTTGTATCCACACAAGACTCTGTAGCACACAAACACCCGAACAGCGTGGGTGTCACCCAGCCTGCAGGCTCCAACTTGGCTCTCTGAATCACGCAGCAGCGTGCTGGGCATTCTGGCACTTGTAGTCCCCAGCTTGCTTGGAGGGAGGAGGTAAACTACAGTTCCCAGAAGGGAGTGAGCCAAGCGCCGTTTTGAAGGTGTGGTTGTTCTTTAAATGAGCAGGCGGCAATGGCTACGTGCATTAGAGCCGCTGCAACTGCGTAGGGGTGTCCGAGCCCCTCACAGGGATGGCAGCACTGCACAGAAGGATCCAGAATTGTAGCCTCCCTGCCCGGAGCGAGGAAGGAGGTACAGCAGGGGAGGAGCAGGCGGGAGGACAGGAGGTCTCTGGTGAGAAGTGGGGCTGGGGGTGATGGGGTGGTCGGGGGTTTGACACAGCCCTGTGTCACTGCTGCGCAGTGACCGGTGGAGCTTTTTAGAGCCCTGAAAATCCGCAGATATATGCAGATATCTACAGACAATTTTTGCAGATCATGGATTGGATACAGATACACCTTTTTTTATCTGCACAGAGCTCTATCACTTTGTTTCTACAGTGGGTAAGCTAATGGGCTCTAATTCTGATCAAGGCTCTGTGCTATCATAATCTAAATATTAATTAATGTTTGTGGGTTAAACTGAAAACCTCTCACGATAAGCCTAGCATCTCACTCCATGAATGGAAGATGTGACTGCGTCCTTCCTGTAATCAAAAGTCATCCCTCACCTCTGGAGTATGAGAGTGCCTTTTGCCATTGTTCCCCACTTCCATTATACTAGAACCACAGGTAACCCAGCCTGCACCTGACAACCCACAAAAGAATAAACATTTTGATTAGAATTTGCTAAATTGCCACCAAGACAAAGAAGACTTGCATCGCAAAAGTTCTTGAAGAAAGGACAACGAAGGGCATGTCTTCCCCATGCAACTGAGCAAAGTCTCTTTTGTCCACAGACAACCATCTTACATGAAAACTTAAGAAATTAGGGAAAAGTGGCAGTCTTAACTATACTGAGCTGAACAAGTGACATTATACTATGATCCTTACCTATGGAATGTTGAATTTGTTGTTATTATTATTTGCATTACTGTAGTGCTTAGGAGTCCTACTCATGGACCAGATCCCACTAGGTGTTGTGTAAACACTGAACAATAAGATGGTCCAACAATAGTACAACTTTGCATTTACCTAAGGATCCACGCATCCTTATTAATTAACCTTTCTGAGACATGAAAGTGTTATCCCCATTTTACAGAGAGGGAAAATTAAGCACAAAGAAGTTTAGTGACTTGCCACAAGGTAACCAGCGAGTTTTGGGTAGAATCAGAAACGGAACCCAAGAAACTCCAAATTGCCTTGCTCAAAGTCCCAAATTCCCATATTTTTGAGGATAACACAAGCAATTTGTAGCAACTAGTAAATATTTTTACTGTTAACAGTGAAAGATATTTTTATACTAATAATAAGTGACTATTTTTACTCTAGTAAAATGCATTATTGTAATTAATTTATGAAAAGATCATATGGGAAACTCAAACAATAACAACTATCTGAAAAGATCAAGCTCCATTTCTAGCTGCCTGTAGAGAAGCAACATGGGAAGGCTCTACCATGTCCTCCAAGACATGAGACCACATGGGTCATGTTTAATCTAATGAATGTGTAAGCAAGCAGAATACCTGATTTTACTAGATATGTAGCAATATATGGGCCGGACTTAGCCTATAATTTTTACATAGAGAGAGAGTTCAACAAGCATCAGCTGCTTCTCTGATCAAATATTACTGAATTTTTGGAAAAATATATACAGAGCCAAATTTTTAAAGGTGAAAAAATTGTATGCATGACAATTTGCATTCACACCCAGAATGGGGCCTACAAAACTACACTTAAAAATCTGGCCCATGGCATCCGAATGCTAAATCCATTGAAAACAACCATCACCAGCAATTTGTGAAGTTTACCCTGTGATTATAATGAACTTCAGCATTAAAAAAGAATGAAAACTACTTTTTAAATAATCACCATGGGTAAAACCCTTAAATCTTTACTCAGGCTAAACTCCAACTGACTTGAGTATTAATATTGCCTGAGTGAGGAATGCAGGTTTTGGCCCTATAGATAGGGCCTCTGGAACAGCAAGGTGATAGTGGTAAATGGACACTTACTATGGGTCTTCCTTTTCTGTAACTGTCTCCCAGTTTCCATAAGGGTTTGTCTTTTTAGATACATTGTGGGAGGTAACTTGTGGAACTGACGGGGCCTCATCCTGAGCAACATCAGTTTCTTGTTTAACTTCCTGCCACTCTCCATAAGGGCTTATCTTTTTAACTTTGGGGGGCTTCTCTTCCTCTGTTTCTTCATCGCTGTCTCTTTTCATCTAAGGAAGAAAAAAAAAACTCACCTTCAGCAAAAATGCCTAAATGAAACAACAGAATATTGCTCTTTTTAAATATCTATTATTTATACTTTTCAACCAAGGAAAACAAAAAGCAATAAAGAAACAATATTTTAGTAGAATTTTACTATTTTTCTCCACAAGCTTCTTACTCCATTCAGAAAGAGACAGTCATTCAATACATGCATAAGAAGAACAATCATTAGAACAAGCTATAGTTAAAAGGTCCCGTCTCACACAGCTGAAAATGAGTGGAGTACCACATACACATTTACAAAACAAAGCTCTATCATAGATATTTAACTTTTAATTCTTATTTTAATTAAATATTCTTTGCACACTTTCTTATGGATAACATTTGGTAGAACTTTGACTAGTTTTGTACACAGCGGGGGAAGAAAATTGGAATAATACCTTAAAGCATTTGTATCTGGGTATTTTCACACTTTAAATAAAAACACTATCTTTGGAAGCCCAAGTTACTGTTTCTGGACTCAAAATAAAATGCACTGGAAAATTTTTATCTACCCATACCTAAAATTACAGCCTTTATTGTGAACTTTAATATGAAGACATAGTATCTAGTTTTGACAGTACTTTTATCCTACCATTGGTCTTGACGGACAATTAATAGGAAAGCCTGTAAGTGTCAAATTTTCAGACAATGGCCATGATCTTGTGGTGTCCCACTGTAAGCAGATATCTTTGAAGAATATGGGCCAAAAATTATAGCCACATATTGAAGTCAATATCAATCTGAGGATCATCTAATGGGGATGCCAATGCCCTTCCTTGGAAACCATGAGCACCTCTAGCTACATCCAAGCCACCCACATTGAAGAGTCTATCTTCCATGGTGTAACAGTGCTGCTGATGTTCCTATAGATTAACAGTTATTTATTTTGCTTTTCAAGCATTATAAAGTGCTAATTCTTATCAACGTCAATCAGGTTTAACCTAACTACAATCAATATAGCCACCCAGAAAGATGAAATCACGTTATTCCGGAACATTAATATTGTACATAAAGTAAATCTGATGGAAAAAAAACTTACCTTTAAGTTTGTTTCTGGCTTTTGTACTTCACTTTTATTACCATCCTTCTCAGCATCTGATTCAGATCCCTTTGAATCCGCTGTGGTGTGTTCTTCAGGATGATTGTCATCTTTATTGCTCTCATACGAAGATGAAACAAAACCATGAGGCTTCTCCCACGTTGATACTGTTCAACATATTTGGACAGTCACATTATTCATGTTTTAATTCTGGCCTTACATCAGTTCCACTTTGACAACATTAACCTTAAGCAGTACCATATGCTCCATGTGAAAAATACAGTAAAGAATTTAGCATAAGCCCTTCCACTTTTCTTTTTTTCTCATGTTTTCTTTCTAGAATTCTCAAAATTACTTTTTCAATATTTTATTTTTAAACACAAGTTTCATGACAGTTCCACTCAACTTATGAAAAGACTTGCTGTATCCTGTCCTCTACTATGCATTTGATCTTTTCTTTAAAGTAGAAATACTTCAATTAAACCTGTCCAACCTACTACACATTATTTACTTTACATACCATTAGTTCTCTTTTCAGATTGGATAACTTAACTATAACAACCCTAATAATGGATTAGGATTCTTTGGCATGTAACTGTGAACATAAATTAACACAGCTATAACCCACACTGTTCCCCACTACAAAAATACCTTTGACCATGCATTTGCCATCTCTTGCACTGATTACTCTAACATATTCAGATATGGTGTCCCAGCCCTCCGCACAGATTTTAAAGCCAGCATCCCTATTTACAGACTGAAAGTCTATCAGTTTCCTCAGTGCTAGCTGACTCAGTAGCATACAGTAGAACTAAGGCTCTTTAATTAAAAAGCAGCATTTACATATCCAAACCTGATTTATTGGAAATCCCTCAAACAGCTGAGGGACATGACCTTATCTTGAATTAAACAATGATGTTCCAGTAAACTTGTTGAGTGAGATGGTGTGATGGATGTATCCACATATTGAAAATCCCAATGTCATCACTTAATTGCCTTAAATGCACTGATTTTAATAAAATGTTCCACTATTAAGTGAAAAACCAAGTAATTGCCAGCATTCATTTGAAGAGTCAGCAATTAGTTGAAGAGTTTCCATAGACAGATTCTATTTGACTAGCCAAATCACTTTTATAACACTGGAAAGTACACTGACTCTCAAAAAATTATTTTAAAGGAACACTCAAATTAATAAAAACTATCATACTTTTGACATTATTTTCATATTTTAGACATATTATTAATTAAAAACATTTAACAAATACACTTCTAAGATTTATTATCTTCAAAGAGCAAAAGCTTTCTTATTTAGGTGTGTTGTACTGACATCTAGTGGCCTTCAAAGCTGTTAACAACAAAACAGAGTTTTTGTTGACAATTGTCCCTTCTTTAGAACACTGGGTTAACTAAGAGGACATGTACTCCAACAGAGTTAAATTGCACTGAAAATTAAAACCACAAATATTTGTCTGGTGGTCACAATGAATGGTAACTCAAAATCCAACAGGTATAAAATAATACCAAGCAAAATAGTTACAAAGAAGTTGTTCATGCAGCTTACACAACTATGTAGAACTGTCAAAAGTAACAAAACACAAATTATAAAATACAAACTGGAGTTTAAAAGAGAGCACTGACAAATGACCTGCAAACAAATCTACAAAAACCCCAAACCAAAACCCATCTTTTTGCATATTTAGGCTACATATGCTCAGAAGAGTTATTTTTCTGCGTCCTTAGAAATATCAAGACTGCCAAGTTTGATTTTCCCTGTTTTTTTCTGGAGAAATGTCAGTAGTCTCAGATGTTTATTCTATGCTCTGAAGACTTAAGTGAAGGGCAGGTTCTTTAATCATTAAGAAAGAATTCATTTCTCCAAAATGTTGATTAGTTATTACAGTTAAATAGGTGTTAACAACAAACAAACAAAAAGCAAAGAGTTTTTACAAGAAATTGACTAAAATCACTTTCCTTCTCAGTAGCTTAACTTTCATTCTTTTGGGTCTTTTGGCATTATTTCACTAGTTCTCCATCCTAGAATCTTTTCAAGCCTAGACAAATGCTGAATTTCTAATATGGATGAAAAACAACAACAAATACAGAAATAAAGCCATCCTTTCAAGTCTTCTTCATACATCATAACGAATCAAAAAAAGGACACAGTTCAATTTTTTTGCAGGTGAAGAAGGGTTTTTAAGTTAGATTGCTTAAACCTCTTTGTTTCCAGGTATTTAACTCAAAATTCTGACACCCAAGGAAAAAAATTCTCTGTTAAAGATTCAAACTAGCATAGGCGCCGACTCCGTGGGTGCTCCGGGGCTGACGCACTCACAGGGAAAAAATGGTGGCTTCTGAGCACCCACCAGCAGCTGCCCTATCAGCTTTCCCCCACCCTCCCAGAGTGCCTCCCACCCACCAGCAGGCCCCACGGATCAGCACCTCCCCCCTCCAGTGCCTCCCACCCACCACGAACAGCTGTTTCGCTGCGTGCAGGCAGGAGGCTCTGGAGGGAAGAGGGGAAGAGTGAGGACGCGGCATGCTCGGGAGAGGGTGCGGAACTGAGCGGGAAGAGGTGAGGTGGGGGTGGGGCCTTGGGGGAAGGGGTAGAGTTAGGGTGGGGTCTGGGACAGAGCCAGAGGTTGAGCACCCCCCAGCACTTTGGAAAGTCAGCAACTAGCGCTGTCAATTAATCGCAGTTAACGGCTGTGATTAACTGAAAGCAAAATTCACGAGTTAATTTTTTGAATGTGTTAATCACATGCCTCTGGGCGGGGCAGAAGGCATCGGGCGGGGGGGGGGGGATTTGAAGCCTCAGCCCACAGCTCCATGGACAGCAGGGGGGCTGAAGCAGCTCCAGCCTGCAGTTTCCCTGGTGGCAAGGGGGCTGGAGCCCAGCGAGAACAGCTGAAGTTCCGAGCCCCAAACTGGGCTGAAGCCCTGCACCCCGAGAGTGGCTGAAGTGTCGAGACCCCCAGGGGTTGAATTCCTGAGCCCCGTGCCCCCGGGGGGCTGAAGCCCTGAGCTGGGCTGTAGCCCAGAGCCCCCAGCCCTAACCCTATATTTGAAAGTATAGAAAACCCAAAAAATGTAAATAAATGGTATTCTAATATTGTTTAACAGTGCACTTAAAACTGCTATTGGTGTATTGTGCACTAAGGAATTTGAGAGTTTTCAGGAGATGGGGTGGTTTTTGATTAAGCCCCTCGCCCTCTTGGTAGTATTCCCCTTTTGGGATAGGGGATTGGCCGTCCCATTTCGGATTCCCAGGTGATAGGTGATAATGAAATTGATCTGAGAGAAAAATAACGCCCACCTGAGCTATCTTTGGTTCAAGGCTTGAGCCTTCCACAGATATTCAAGGTTCTTAAGGTTGGAAAAGACTTGCACTGGGTGTCGGGCTCCCTCGAGGTGATGGTGCCAGAATTCCAAGACTAATTTAATTGTGAGCAGTTCCTTATTTATTATCTTATCATTCCATTCTTCAGGGGGTGAGTTTTCAGGAGTAGTTGGTGCAGGGGTGCAACACGTGCTGTGGACCATGCCTCTGAGACAGTATGGCCTCGATGGTTATGTTGGAGGCATGGCTTCCACTATGAATGCCTGGGCCGAGTCCTGGTGTGCTAGAAGCAGAGCAGTGGTGAAAGCAGCCTTGAGCTGTTCAAAAGCATGGCGAGCTTCACGTGTCCAAACACATTTGATGGCCTTGCAGAGTAGGTTGGTTACTGGGGCTATTTACCTTGAGAAACCTGTAATGAACAATTGGCAAAATTTGCAAAGCCCAGAAGAACTGTAACTCCCGGAGGGAATAGAGCACTGCCCAGTTGCGGATGGCCTTTACCTTCCTAGGGTCCATCCTGACTCCTTCTGGGGAAAGGATTCTGTGGAGGACTGGTCAAAGGTACATTTTTCCAATGTCACAAAAAGGCCAGGCTTCTGTAGTCTTTTCAGGATGGAATGAATGTGGTAACAAATCTGCTCAGGATTATCTGAAAACACAAGTATGTCGTTGAGATGGATGATTACATACTGGTCCAGGATGTCTCGAAATATGTTGTTCGTGAAGTGCTGAAAGGTTGAAGGAGCATTTGTCAGCCTGAATGGCGTTACTAAATATTTGAAGTGCCCATACCGGGGTTTGAAAGGCAGTCTTCCATTCATCTCCTACCCTGATGTGCACTAAGTTGTAAGCACCCCAGAAGTCCAGTTTGGTAAAAATTCTGGCAGACCACACATGATCTAGTAACTCTGATATTAAGGGCAGAGGATACAGGTTTTGGACCATCACCTGGTTTGGGGCCCGATAGTCTACAGAAAGGCTTAGCATTCTGTCTTTTTTCTTAATGAAAAGGACTGAAGCCCCTGCTGGGGAGATGAAGTGCTAGATGAAGCCCTTGTCCAGGCTTTCCTGGACGCACACACGAAGGGCTGCCAGTTCTGGTTTGGACATCGCATAAATATGTCCATAAGGGACCTTTGCCCCAGGCTGCAGGTCTATGGGGGCAGTTGTAGTCTTGGTGCACAGGTAGCGTGTCTACATTTTTCTTTTAAAAAATGTCTGCATAATCCCAATACTCTTCAGGGAGATGGGGACTCAAGCTTGGGAGTGACTCCTTCCGGTTAGCCGCCACCATCTTGCATTCCCCCACAGGTTCTGTTGTTTCCAATTGGCTACAGGAAACGGGGACTGGGAGGCTTGAAGCCAGCTGCACACAGGCAGACCCTTCAGCAATATTCCAAGGAAAAGCGGACCCTTTTTTCTCTCCAGGAGATGCAAGAGTCGTGCTGCTCCAGCCAGGTAATTCCAAGAATTAGGAGGCAGTGTAGAGAATGGATCATATTGAACTGCAGCACTTCCCAAAGGGCCAGGATTACAGCCTCTAGGGGTTCTGTTTCCTGCATTACTGGTCCTGAGGACAGGATGTATCCATCTATTGCCTCTACAAGGACTGATGTAGGCTTTAAACAGAGGGGAGATTTGTAGTGCTCAAGCAGCTTTAGCATCTATGATGTTATTGGTAGCCCTGGAATCAATCCGGTCCCACTAAGGGGGAATCAGTTTGGCCTCATTCATGGTACGTAACTTTACTCATACTTGGAAGTGTGGGGAGGACCTGCGTGTCCTGGATCAAGTTTCTCTTGAGGACTGGGGAGTAGTTCCAGAACACAG